CGCATCATACGCTCAACCCTGGTAAGAACTTAGCTTTACAAGCGAGCGTCTGCATGCTGCTGAAACCTTGAAGCCTAAGCTATCTTCACAAACTGCAAGTACTAAAGCAGATATGATATTTTGGAGACTTTTTAGAGCGCATTCCTACTCCAGTAAGTGCCTTGATACATGTATGTGATAAAATGCAAATGTCGCATAACTATCACAGCTGCATCAAACTCCGGTTGAATATAAGGTTCGAATGCAGGTATAAACCGCGCTTAAGGAAGTTGCTTGCCAGGGTCAAGCAAGGGGTGTGCAAACGATTGATAGGTAAGACCCCCCCCCATTTTCTGTCTCGATATGACCCGTTCAAACTATTGCATCCTACAGTAGGCATAACTTAAACCCTACCATGCAGAACGACTGTAAAGTTTGCATATCAAATAACTCCCTGTGGAGCATGTTTGACCGATGAAGCTTCCAAATACTGGGCCACCTGAGTGTAATGTTCATTTTTAAACATTAATGACTTTGTTGCAAAGGTAAATCAGCTACCTCTTTTTGCACTCAATACAAAGCACTTCTCCTTTGCTCATTTAGAAATTCCGCTCCAAAGACCGCCAAGCCGTGAAATAGAAGTAAGCCAAAATCTCGTTTGTTTATTTTTCGCTTTTGAGTGTGCTTTCATCAACTATTACTCAGACCAAGAAAGACGAATCGGCTCCGATCACTCCTGCGAAAACGAAGAGATTTAGGTTATCGAACCATACGAATATCACTCGTTAAAAAGGTTTTTCAAAGTAAGTTAATGGGCACAATCCTCAAAAAGGTGTGGTTGCCGCACCTTTTTTGAGTTTGTGCCACACCTCATTAACTATGTCATATAAACATTTTTACCGAACAATGCTTTTAAGAATTGATAGCTTAAATTTCGAAGATTTCATAGAGGTGATTTGAGCCTGATTGGTCTTCTTTGCTCTGAGTAATAGTTGGAGAAAGCGCAACCATCAAAAGCGAAAAATAGGAAGAACGATTACGGTTGGCTTCTAATTCCACAGTTTGAAGGTCTTCTAAAACGGGGTTTCTGGTTAGAGGTAGCTGGTTTACTTTTGAAACAAAGTTAATTATGTTCAAAAGACCGTTTCACTCAGGTGGCGTAGTATTTGCAGGCTCCCGAATTCGTTTAAAGTTGGAGGAAACTCAAATGGGTTATTTGACATGCTAATATCACTCATTATACTTAGTAGGACTTTTATGTTAGGCCTATCTTAGGTTTTCAGACGTCCTTTCGCATGAACGTAATGCAGCGCACAACAAACATAAAAGGTTCCAGTAAGTACTATTCGATAGTGCTGTTTCCGCAGATTTTAGTGCGCTACGAAGCAGGCGATCATGTCTTCCCAAATTCTATCATCGTAACCCTAAAATATGAAACTCTCCTGCTAAGTCTCCTGCTAAGCCTCCTGCTAAGCAGATATGATTTTCATCAGCAAATTTGATAGTCTACATCGAGTAGATTTTCCAATAAATATGGTACCCCTACGGAAGCGGCAGCACTTGCGCGTGAACAGTCGCCGCAGAGCGAGAAGCACCACACAATTTCGGTGTTTTCTTCGCTCATTCCTCGTTTTTCAGGTATGCTTCGGTCGACTAGGAGTAAAAGATAAGCTTAAAGGTAGCTTTTGTTGTTTTAACCTGTTATATATTCGCTTGAGTTTAGATGTACTCCCTGGTAGCTGCATCGCATTTAGTATTTGTAGCCTTACTTTTTTCCCCACTTTTATTGAAACGTTTCTTGGCTATGCTATTGGGTTTCTTCAAAGTCAAAAGACTCGCCAACAGTGGATCCTTGCTCACCTGAAAGTAATGCCTGACATAAGTACTTTATGTAGTAAGGGGACTTCGAATAGGATGAACAAACCTACTAGCGTTGTAAAGAAGCGCTTTTTGATAGAAAAAATATGAAAAAAATAATTGGGCCCCAATACTAAATGCGATGCAGCTACCAGCAGATACATCAGAACTCAAGCGAATATATAACTGGTCAAAACAACAAAAACTGCCTTTTTAATTACCTTCCATTTCTAGTCTGTCGCGACTTACCTGAAAAATGAAGAATGAGCAACGAAATCACTGAAATTAAGTAATACTTCTCGCTCTGCGGCAATTGTTCACGCGCAAGTGCTGCCACTTCTGCAGGTGCACTATATTTACTGAAAATCTACTCGATTGTACGTGAGCAAGTTTTCCAAAAAGTTCGGGTTAGTTTTCTTTCGTTTTGCTCTCTGAAGCTCGCCGCTTTTAGCGGAGACGGTAAGAGCTGTGTTAAGCCGTGAAAGTTCGTCAAGTCGCCTGCGCTCTTCGGGTATCTGAAAAACTGCTTGCCATTACAGGTTAAAGTCACTAGGAACCGTGCTATCGAACAATGCATGTTTCAGGCTTGAATCTATAACGACCGTCGAGCTTAGAAAAATCACGTCCTCCTAAACATTGCCCATAACACGAAGATCGCATACTTCGTCGAAATTTCATCGTGAGTGGTTGCATAACACGTTGTCTGCAAACCTTACGTTCCTTTGGTCAGGGGATTCTACTGTATAGGTCATGGTAGTTGTGTGGGCTTCATCTACCGAGTTAGATATCAAAGCAGATACGCGGTTAGAGCACTGTCTAATTACCGTACACAATACGGTGGGATCCTTTGAGCGAATGGACATAAATTGCAACCAGTTTTACGACCACTCACGAGGGAATTTCTGCGAAGTAAAACCTTTGAGTTTCTACGACCTTTGAGTTTTGGGTAATATTCTGAGGACATGATTAGCTCGTGACTCGGCGGTTGTTAGATTGAAACTTGAGACATGCATCGTTCAATCACGATTTCTGTTGAATTTAACATGTAGAAGCAAATGGACAAGATTTCTTTTAGGTATGCGAATTGCGCAGTTGAATTTACGAATTCTTTTATCTTAGTTACATCCCTAGCCATATCTCTGCTGGAGGATACCGTAATCCGCAAGGACCACAATTTTCGTAAACAGCGTGTCCGAAGACCGCTAAAAGCAATGTTTCCTTTCAATCCAAGATCATCAATATTTTATACAAAACCATCGACGGGCTTCAGAGCGTAGAACGAGAAAAAATCTAACAAACCAACTACTTGAGAAGTTGCTCATAGAGGTTATCTGATCTGCTGATTACGAAAATCATATCTGCTTGGCTAGATAGCTTCATATTCCAGGGTTACGGTGAGTATAATTTGGGATGACATGACTTTCGAGAAATTCACCAACTCTTCTGTCACCTTTAAGAGGAAGTCTTCCTTTGTAGCGCACTGTAATCTGCGGGAACAGCACTATCGAACAGTATTTACTGGAATCTTTCATGTGTGTTGCGCGCTGCGTTAGACCCTTGCGAAAAAACGTCAGCAGAAAAGTTTGAGAAAGCTGGAAACCAATTAAGGACATGCTGTACATCAAAAGATTTACCTTGATAAGCTGAGCACAATGCATTTCCCGGATTAAAATATAAATATACTGAAGGAACCTATAGCGCTGCGTTATTTGCTTGATGAGCGTGATTCCGTGAAATTCACGAAAATTTTGTACGTTTTATGATCTACTAGCTGGCTTACCCGGCTCCGCCGTATGTTCCGAATAGAAAATTCCATTTCTCAACCGATCCGGACCAAACTTGGCCCACATACCCTTCGGGCCCCGGCGGGTGTCACAGTCCATTTTTCGTTATCGATCGATGTCGATTTTATCGATTTTTTGCAAAATTTGAGCTAGGGGGCTGGAATTTGGCAGATCAGCATGCTCGATTACACCCCTCTGCCAAATTCCAGCCCCCTAGCTCAAATTTTGCAAAAAATCGATAAAATCGACATCGATCGATGACGAAAAGTGGCCTATGACACCCGCCGGGGCCCGATGTGCATGTGTGCCATGTTTGGTCCGGATCGGTTCAGAAATGGAATTTTCTATTCGGAACATACGTACAGACATACAGACAGACAGACAGGCAGACAGACAGACAGACAGACAGACATACAGACAGACAGACAAACAGACATTCAGCTTTATATATAAGAAGATTGTGCGTAATCAACTTGCCTATGAAAAGCGTCGGCGTCAATCTTTGGAGGAAAGGAATGACACAGGCGCGTAGCCGTCGGAATTATCCTTTCTTCAGAGATCTTTCGTGAGAAATTTTCTCGCATCAGAAACAATTTTTTACAGGGCGACTTGGGTGCTTTTTGCTCAATTTTTGCCCAATTTTTGCCTAATAGAGGGCTCCACTATTATTCGGCATCGGAATCAAATCATCCCCACTTTGGCTGCACAGTGCCTTTAATTTGTAACGGTTACAATACCCATCCCCCCCCCCCCACAAAAATTTTCAAAATGAGAGCTGCCACCCTACCGCCGCGTTTAAACGGACATTATTTTTGCAACGATCTAATAAATTTCTTCGTGCTTGTTTGATCTCTGATAAACAAAATCGCAAGCTTTTTTAATTTGACCTAGAGATAAGCTGAAAAATAGGTAGTCTTATAGTCTTACTCCGACTTATATATTTTTGTAGAAACTTCAGGCGACATATCTGCTAATCTATCTGCGTAGTGCTAATCTCTAACTATTTGACGAAGTGCCACATCAAAATCTGCAGAATAGCTGTGATTTACCAGAGTAAACGCTCTGGAAAAGATTATCTTTGATTGCTGCCGTAACATCACTTTATTTTGTTTGGGAACCTCTATAAACTAGAACTTTGAAGTAATTGAAAATTCTTGAGAACGAGCTCTCATAGTAAGTCAGGAGCGACATTTGGCAGCTACACACCCTACTAAACTGAAGAAAAAGGCGGAGAGAGAGACTACCCCAACTGGCATGACAAGAAAGGAGAATGAATGAACTATTCCAGCAACAGATACTTCCTAAACTAGTAATTAGTGAATTTAATAGAACTGATTATCTGGAAGCAAAACTTGCCTAGGAATATTTGAAATTTTTCAGGAGCGACATTCGGCAGCCACATAACCTATCAGACTGAAGAGAAAGGCGGAAAGAGAGAAGAAACATTTCAAAAACCCTTAGAAGGAACTCACAAAGTCATAGAAGGGAAAGCACGGGAACAAAGAAAAGACATTCAGAAAGAAGGGGAAAAACTTCGTCAACTCAGAGAAAAGATCGCAGCTGAAAAGGAGAGGCTTCGAAAAATCAGAGAAGATGTCAAAGCTGAGAGAAAAAGGTTCCAAAAACTCATAGAAGTTCATAAAGCTGAAGAAGAGAGACTCCAAAAACTCAGGGAAGATACACACAAAGCAGAAGAAGAAAGACTTCGAAAACTCAGAGATGACACACACAAAGCCGAAGAAGAAAGGCTCCGGAAACTCAGGGAAGATACACACAAAGCAGAAGAGGAAAGGCTTCGAAAACTCAGAGATGACACACATAAAGCCGAAGAAGAAAGGCTCCGAAAACTTAGGGAAGATACACACAAAGCAGAAGAGGAAAGGCTTCGGAAGCTTAGAGAAAAGGTTTGAAAACCTGAATGGCATCAATCAAAATCATTGCATAATAAAGTGCACAGATTTGCTGTAGTTATTACTTGTAATGACTGGTGGTCATCAATATGCATAATAATAGCAGTGTAACACTAAAGGCTCAAAACGTTCAGATCCGCATGTTTGTCACATGATTACCATATTTGAGAATCTGTACAAAGTCTTATTACCATAAACAACAATCACTATCAATGTTCAAGGAGGTATTATATAATTTGTGAAATTGTTCTAGCGCAAAAAAATTGAGCGTAAAATATGAACTTCCTAGCATATGAGCTTACTCATGCTTCTCGGTATTCTCGCTATCTCCGGTTATGTTTGCGCTGTGCAGTGGATAAGAATCTATAATGAAATATTACTGAGATCCACTCTGGCGCTTGTGATAATGTAGTCCTCAAGGCTATTGATTGTATTCGTTAATGAACCTCGACTAGGAAGAATGCTGGGCGTCACCATTCATGATAAGACTTTAGCGATTCGTAGGCGTCATCAACGCTGGTTCACAATGGCCCGTAGTAAACCCCCCCCCCCCTTCAGGATATCTGCCCTGAGACGGACCTGAGTTAATCGTATGGCGCCTCGGTCTAGCATTCCGCGAGCTATTGATCTAGATGCGGATCGCTTTTCAGGCGTAAAAATATTGCGCGCTATCAAAGAGTAAACACCCACACCTCTTGTGCAGGTTTGGTCAAACAGGTGTGTTACTGGTACTCAGCCCGCACGACCGTGGTTCGGCGACGGACAGTGGCGAATTTTTGCGCATCACTGAGCAATCCTTGATAGCGGCCGCTATCGAAAGAAATCGATGACGGCCGCTATCAAGGTATCCACAAACCAAATGAATGCACAAAACAAAACTGCGTTTTTTTAATCAAAATTTCATCAAAAATTGAGGAAGTAGGGACAAAATCGAATGGAAATAAATAAAGGGATTGTCGCTCTGAGTAGCTTTTGTAGAAAAAACCTAAGCAAACTCTGTAAAAAGGAAAAAACCTATTCTTCTGTTTTTTGTCGAAATCAGCTGTCATTGATCCTTTCCTTTTGGGCACCCGTATTGTGCAGTTTTGCGCGTTCTTGTACTGCAAACGTCAAGTACGATGTCCCGTAAATTACTCACGAGCAACTTACGGGATTTTCCTCTGCATCTCATCCCTTGCACACTATTTCGGTCAATTCATCTCAAAATCGAGGCTGCTCTTACGGATTTCAGGTGAATTCGTCGCGGCACATGCCCTGACGCCAACCCTTCAGATCAGGTCGCATTCTTAAGCATGTGAGAGAACCGCTAGTCAGTTTATCTTAGATACCTCAACTCAGCCCCTCAGCTGAGATCATCTGAAGGAAGTGGGGTTTACTACGGGCCAACGTTTTCTACATTTGAGAAACCATTCTTAGTCCGTTACGATAATAAACTGCAAAAGTAAACTGCAGGGTTACAATTACTAATACCAGATGAACCTATTCTTTCTTTGCTAGATCCATTTCAATCATCAAATTGCAAACTCTTATGGTTTGTTTTACAGTCAGATGCGGTTCCGGTAACATGAAAGCTAGAGGCTTCCAACGTTCAGGAATAATGTTCCGTCTTTAAAAAAAATTTGATTGGGGTCTAGAGCTAGTGTGGGTGGGGCTTAGGGGCTATAATTGGGGTTTAGAGCTTAATTAGCTCCAATTTGATTGGGAGGAGGAGGGTACGAATCTCGGTGGGATCCGAGGAACGAGTCGGATACCCGCCGGAAGGTAGGGACCTTCGGAGGCCTCCTGGAATGTCTCCTGGATGGCTCCGAGCGATTGTCTGAGTATGACTCTCTCAGCAGATGTGGAGATAGAAACATTGCGAACTCACTTACCTCTCGTTGAACAAAAGAGAACTGGCCAGAATTATAGTCCATCCAGACTTTTTATCCACCGGAGTAATTCTTATTCCAAAGCCTTTACTTGAATACATAGTCAAAGTGGCAAACATCTGCTTTAGCTGAGCTTTGTCGCACCTTCAAAAGAATGCTTATCTGCTTTTTGGCTTGTTACTTTCACGTGTATGCTGCTGCATGATGCAGGCTCAATATCTTTGGGCGCAAACGTGGCTTTATTAGTCGCAGAGCGCATGAGGCGCAGGATACAAAAGGGGAAGACACGCACGCGTCGCGTTTGCGCCCGCTCAACTAGTACTGCAGTTGCTTTTCGTCCTGCAGTGGCCTTTAGTTTGCTTCTAAAACCTATTTTGGTAAGGATTAAGCAAATTTCTCAGCTGTTTCGAAAGCTATGGAATTTTATCTACCTTCTAGTGCTTGCTGACAGCACTAATGAATATCAGTATTCTGCTGTAGAAGCAAATCGACATATACCTAACAGGCTTGCGCTCTTTCTGACCTCAAACTCTTTCTGTACTATTCTCATGAGCACATATTCTTATGGATTAGGTTTTTTATAAATCTAAGGTTATAGCTTACAAGAAATGTTTAATGTTTTCATAGTGTTTTCACTGTAAATATCCATTCCCTCAATACAGGAATCATCTTAGTGCTATGGAAAAGGCGAAATGAAAACAAACACAAACAACACTCACCAGAGAATTTACAAAAGAGAGGAACCTAAAACTTTGACTTGTTGCCATTGGCACCACATAGACATGATTAACTGCTCAATGAGATCTGAGAAAGTATGTATCAGTTTTCCCCATCTCCGATCGGTAGCTCTTTCACAGTTATAAACAAGTGCCCTCATCTGATGGGAGTTCAAATTGCAGGACTATACGCTAAGGGCACACTACCATCTGACTGCAGTGGTGATCCAAGGAATTTATTTCGGGAGAGGAGATAAGATTTTTTTTGAAGAGGCGTAACAAACGCCACGATTCGTAGAAATTTTTTCTGGAGGTTTTCCGAAATTTTGGGGAGCATATAGGTCCCCACAATCGCTCTCGGTCAGCCACTGGCTGACCGCCGGCGTTGGAAAAAAATACACGAGAACAAGGTCTTCTTCGTACATACATGAAGACCACCACAATTTGTTTTAGAAATTAATTCGGTTTGTGCAAAGGCACCTTTGATCTTGCGTTTTCTGGAAGCTGGTAAATCTCAACTATCATAAGCATAGTATGTACAAGCCGACATCTGTCACAAATTCGAGAAATCTTAGGTCTTGCCTTTGTCATCTCCAAAAAACTCATGTGAAGGGCAAGTAGAATTAAGAGCTGAATTTTTCTGGCTAAAGCAAAGTGCTTTCTTTTTGATCGAGACATCCAGTTCAGGAACTACAAATCCACGCCGCCGAAACACGTTCGTTTAGCATGATGCAAAAGTTGATAGGCCAAAGACGAGCATTTCGGAAAACAATGGAGTAAACGATAAACATCAAGGATCATATTGGTTAGCGCCTTCCAAACATATTGGACTACAGTCATTGATTAAACCCTCCAGTATTTGTGAACGGGTTTTTGCTCAAATTAACCCATCATTGAACGCAACCATATCATTTATGGCAATCATTTGTTTTCTTTACAAATGGAATGCTGATTCTGTCTGCTTTCTTATGAATGATCAACGATGCTGTGAATAGTACCCGCATTTTTGTAATAATCGGCAAACTGAGGATAGTTTCGCTTCAGAAAGTAGAAATGAACACCATTCACACGAAATTTCACAATTTTTCGACTCAATAAATCAAGTTTTTGCCATATTCCCTTCGAATTAGCTCTCTGCATGGCTTTCATTTCTGCATCATCGTCCTCATGCCTTACAAAGTAGCGATTATTTTTTGGTTCTTTTAGAATAATCTCTTGCCAAATATGGGAAACCCTTCCTCATTTTCCAATTCACAAAACGAATCACTAAAGCAGCGACATAAGCAATTACTTCAAGGCAGAAGCAAAACGCTACAATAGAAATTTTCCAGTGTATTGACGATTAAATCGTATTGATTGTGAGACTTCAAAACCAACCGAATTACACCAATTTTCTGCACGATTTCACTGGAAAAGAAATGACGTGAAGTTAAAAGAACTTTTTTAAACGATGCAGATAGATGGAGCAGGGCAGAACGGCAATTATAATCCTTACTAGTTTCGGAATCGTTTCATAAATGTTATGAGCAATTTCTTAGAAACAATTATATGTGAAGTTTAAATGGCATACAATGCATGGCAATAATGGGCCAAGACGTTCAAATGAGAGTTATGGGGTTCAAGGCGTTCATTTTCAAAATTGAGTTAAATATGCTCCCATGTGCTAGAATTTGCATTTCGTTAACACAATTTGTTTGCACTCATTTGCTGAAAGGTTCATTTATTGAAGGCGGATCAGCTTGATAAGGCGTTCAGATCTGCATTAGCTTCTAATGCGCATCCAGTGATGTGTGCGGAATGGTCAATTTGATGTTTGGCAATTGCAAGTCCTATGGGGAGCTCAAATTTGGGATTAATTTTTTAAGTACGCAATAATCATTGTAGCAAAGATATATACCGTGCTTAAGTCACAATAAGGCGGTTTTGGTTTGGAAGAACCGTTCTTTCCTATTTTTGAGTGCTAAAATTTTTTGAATAGACTAGCAAATGCATATAAAATGTTCAGTCTTCTGGTACCTTAACTACAGTCGTTGAATTAGAGGCTACTCACTACTTTTAAAATCGCAGATATGTGGAAGCGGTTTCGGCTAAGAGATTATCATACAACGTGATTACGTACATTGAAATTTTTGAAGCCTTGTTTGCCTGGAATATCTGGCTCTTTCAATAAAAAAGCATCTTCGCCTGGATACTTTCGCTTGAGGACTCCATAGTTTTCAGCTACATTATACTTGTCGTAAAAAGTTTGATGCCTAGTACTTCCGTGAAAATTCTTGTAAATGCGTGATATAATGAAAAAAAATGTCTGATGGGCAGTATAGCACGTTATTTTGTATCACTCATAGCATATTGGATCGCCATACAAATGAGAGGTGAAGCGCTTCATATGATTTGTATGTGCTAAATAAGAACTGTTAGGAAGAAGTTAATGGAAAAGATAGCATGGGCAACCTTGGGAAGAAAAACATGAGGGAAATGGCATTCTTCTTCTGTTCTTGCGAACTATGCCATGACTTTTGGCAACTTTTCCAAACTATTGTTGATTTTAAAGTCATAGTGAATCTTCATCTAAGCTTTTCTTGAAAGAGAGAAGATACTTGTCGTAGAGCATCAGATTTGTGACCTCATGTTAAATACCCTAAAATCCCATAGATAAGAGCGGTTTAATTTACCGGTGAAAAATGAATAGAAATTGAAATTGAATGCAGTCACCCCTCTGACTTGATGGGGATAAATAAAAATCGGAGAAGAAGTTTAGAAGAAGCTCCGCCCCTCAACTCTAAACCCCGCCCACTTAATAAACAATTCATATAGAAAAATAGCGATTTTAACAGAATTTCTTAATTTCTATATGAATTGTTTATTGAGTGGGTGGAGTTTAGAGTTGAGGGGCGGAGCTTCTTCTAAACTTCTTCTCCGATTTTTATTTATCCATCCATCAAGTTAGAGGGGTGACTGCATTCAATTTCAATTTCTTCCAATTCATTTTTCACCGGTAAATTAAACCCCTCTATGGGATTTTAGGGTAATAGCACAGCACCTCTAAATGGTGAGAAAATTATTTACGAACTCCGAAAACGCGGTCTAGAGTAGAGAATGGTGATTGCTTTCCGTTTTAAGCATTTGTAATTGCCACAGAAAGCTTTGCTTCTTGTTTGTGTTGAAAGTGTTCACTCTATGTGTTGAAGTGGGTCGAGTGTGATGATCCTTGTGATCGTCCCCTACTCACCATGTGTGGAATCTCTTCAAAATCCTGTTTTTTCCCTTTTCAAAAGAGGAAGTAAATGTGGGGAAAACAACTCCGTTTATCTTTTTCCTTTCATGAATCAACTCCTTATTGAAGAGGATATCGAATTTGCAACACATTCCATCCATTTGAAAAACTCGAGGAATTCTGATGCGCATAATCCGTCTTTCTTGGCCGATGAAGTCCGAAGAAAGTTTCCTTTTTCGAAAGTAGCGCAAAAGGCTACTAGGCCATAAAACTGCTAATTCATCACCTGTCCGTCTCAGCAGCTTTTTTATCGTGCAAACACTATGAACCCTATCAAATTAGTGCAAAAAACCGCTCGCATCCTCTACGCCAATCCGAACACCTTTCTTCCACGCATTATCGCTCCAGGATCTACGATTAATCCCTTGATTCCCGTTTTCACCTCTTCAGTCAATGCTTCTGCTTTCATTGCTTCTGGTTACAGGTAAGCATGGCTCAAAGCGTAAGAAAGAGCTTGAAGCCTCTTCTTTGATTTATTTTTATTAGGTTAAAGTAAATCGTAACCAGCAAGTAGAACCGCGCAAACTGGTTCAGTGTAACTACTTTGTGCCGCCGAACACTCTGATGCAAAAACCGTCCTCAAAAGTTCCCTTTCTCTTTCAAAATGGTTGACCGCAAATCTTCTTTGTACCTTTACAGTCACCTGTTTTGATTAGATGTTGAAAGATGATGGAAAGCTTTTTCATGTGGAAAAATTGACTATCTCCTTGAATATGCCGAATCTGTGCAAAACTTTGTGTCGTTTCTCAACACTCTTCTCAAATCATATGCGACGACAGACACACTTTTTAACTGAAATGCAGGATTTATTTCTTCATTCCAGCGGCTATTTTTTCAGAGTGATTTTTTTGAGAAATGGTGGAATTTGAACCAACTCATTGTATGTCTGACTAATTAGCAAAGTTCAAAACCTTATCTCTAGAGAGATGATTAATTTTTAGATTGCTTCTGAAGTTTAGGAACATGCAGGTAGACCAAACTTTGGTAGTGCTTATCTAGTCCTTTTCAAATGACTTTCGGTATCTTTACGTATAACTTTTTGGTGCGGCCAAACTTGCTGCTTGAGCTATATAAAATTTCTGCAACATCAATCGATAAGGAACTCAGGAAACAGTTGAAGTGATCACTTCTCTTTCAATAGTCTTCCTTATAATTCATGTTTGCAAAGTACTGCTACATATCTCCCAAATGCGCACGCTTGTGACCAGAATTGCACATAATAAGTCATAAACTCAAGTGCTAAAGCAATTCTATGGTTGGCTAAAAAAATTAGTCCGTTTTGGCATGCAAATCTTTCAAAATTTTTCTTGTTTTTTTTTGGCTATGATTCTTTGTGGAAAAGAAGATTAAAGCCTCCTCTATCACATACCAAACATTCAGGATTTTCTATCAATGAAGACAGTATTCCTCAGCATGGCTAAATTTCCAAAAGCTCAAATTTTCGACTTACTAAGCTCGTTCTCATGCTGTAGTGGACATAGAGAACGCCACTTTGGTATTTGGATAAGCGGAGCTTTTCCGTTTAGTGAATAACAGTGAAAATTGCGATTTGCCCCTTTGAAAATCTTTTATTTTAAAAAACCAAATTTTTTTCATATTTGCGCACTGTGAGAAAATTGAGACTTGTCACTTCTTTGCGGATTTTTCTCCTTAGAAGATAAGTCGAACTTATTCTGCCAATCCATTGAAGTGGTCTTTCCAAAGATACCAAACACTAGACAAAAATCTGTCTGCAGCATCTATAAGAGTCAAAAAAGCGAACTTATTTATCAGCCAACCTAATAATTTTTCTTTACCTGACGATTATTTGTACTGCGAAAATTTTTGAAAATATTATAGTAATCCAGTTTGGGCTTTCACATATTTGATTTTTTAAAGTGCTGACTTACGGAAAAATCATTTTGATAACCAAAAAGCTCTGATCATCTCGCACTGCAAAAGACTTGCTTTGTCTGCACTTAGTCAAATCGCCTTCAAAGTCTTTTGTAAATCACATTATGTTATAACGTATAGAAGCGTGTTAATATATGTAGATGTAGACGCATTCGATCTAAAACTCTAGCGGTCGTTCCAGCGATCACCATGCGAAGTTCAAATAATGTTGCTAGAATAGGAAACAAACCTGCATCGCGTACCGTCCAAAATATGTAATGATAATTATCTATCATCACTTCATGCAGGTTGTGAACAGATTAACTTTAGGAGCTTATGCGTCTTTAGCACACATTGTTGTCCATTAATCTTCAAGGCGTTTGCTATGGTCTTTGCAAATAGCGAGTCTGTCCATACAATACATCTTCGAAGTAAGAAAGTGGCGCGGCCTCGTAACCCCCATTTTCTGATGTCGTCTGATTTATTGCAAGAGATGGGTATTTACAAAAAAGTATGCGGCATGTCATGATATTCATCATTTTTGAATGGTCGTGCGCAATTTCCTTTGGAATTTTCGGATTTCCTTTTTCCAGGTTCTGCTGTTGACATGATTAGTGGCGAACCGCTTGTTCTAACTAAGTCTACAAAAATGTAAAACTTTACTTGTTCTAAAATAACTGCGCCAAATAGCAGGTTGGGATATACATAAGATTTCCATTTTTTCATAACTTTTCTCTCTTTGAATGGTGCACTCAAACTTGGGCAATATGTAAATCACAAGTGTGCTACAAATATGCGTAAACTGTTCGATTTTCGGACAGGATATTGAATTCCAGGCATTTTTCAAAAACTATTGCATTTCACGAATTTGTAGGGTCGCAAGCAAAAATAAAGCCGGCAACCCAGATCATGAAGATTGACTCATTCGCCTAAGTAGAAAAGGAGTACAATTAAAAAGCAATTCGAGTTCTAGCGCTCTCGCGAATTTGACGGAGTCGGAACCTAAGCAGGGCTGCTCGACCTGCGAGCACAAATTTTATATTTATTTGTTTGATTTATGCCTTTTTTTATTGTTTGTGGCGAGACCCCATAACGTGCACCTACATTAATCTCACAAAAAACCCCTGCCATGTAAACTCGGTACCAATGTCGTGATCAGAATGTTGGATACCCCCCCCCTGCACCAAGTTTCAGCCAATCTGTAATGATTTAAGTTTCTCCCTCATACCATATGCGTACCGTAAGATTCCTGCGACGTCAGAACTTGGCAGTTCAGCAGTTGCGCTTGTAGCTTGCGTCATAATTTACATAATGGCGAACTTGAGTGTGTTATATTCAATGAGAGGAAAGTCACTCAAAAGGTTGCAAAACTTAGTTTCCAACCTAATAAGTGACATGAAATATGATGCGATCCTTTTCTCTACAAGAACTCTGATAGCGTCTAGTACTTCGATGAATATTTCAGTAATATTAGGTCGTTCCGTAAATTCATAGCGTTTTCATTTTAGTCCTCATATCTTTGAGGAGCGGTTGGTTTGCGGCAAAAGGCGTACATCATTTGGAAGGGCTGATTGTGCTTTTTAGAATGCGTCTACTGTTTTCGGTAGAAAGCTGATTCACTCGGATTTTGCAGCTTCCAAAGATGGAAATCTTGAAAGGCAAGGAGCAAGTTCGGCATTTTCGGCATTTGCGCATTTATCCTCATGAAAAGAAGCACTTTTACACATTTTTTTGTGTCGATTATGGAACATGGGGCTTGCACATCAATATGGGGCAAAAAAGAATTGGATTGCTGCAAAAGATCAGGGGCTGAGCAGGGTGTCCCTGTACAAGACTTTTCGGGGGACGGGCAGGACGTCCTGCACTGAAAATTGCTTTACATGTAGGCGATGGTCAATCATACCGTAAGCAAGCCAACTAGACCGTCTGAATCATGTTCTATCGCAGAAAAAGCTTAACAGACAGATCCAGTGAGCTTTTCTGCATGACGAAACATGGCCTCATACGGCAAACATCGTCAAAAGTATCCTGCACGATTTGACTGGAAGAACTTTAGTACCCGAAGTACTCTCCAAATCTCGCTTTATCAGATTATTATTTGCTCCGCTCTTTGGGAAACCTCATGCATGGTGCCTGTCTCGATTTCAGTACGTAGTTTGAGCGCTGGTTAAATGACTTTTTTGGGACCCGGCGCGCTGCCGTTTGAGAAATTGAGGTTGAGAAGCTAACAAGAATGTGCCAAAAGGTCGTGCGCTACGACGAGGAATACAGATTCGATTGATTTTTACTGTTAATTGATGATTTTGTTGATTTATAAAAACGCTACGAACTTATGGAACGACCTAATAGTTCTAATCTAACAACACGCTCTTTGAATCCCCTAAAATGGTTTGACTTCGCCACCTTGCTTTTCCAGAAATGACAGCACCGGACGTGAATTACTCCAGTGACTAGGCGTATGCCCTAAAGGCGTTAAAACGATATCTAAAGTTTAGCTGTATAAAATGGAAACGTCTTTAGTTTTTGGACAGGATTTCGTTCGAATCATAATCAAGTAATTCCCACAAATGTTAGAGAGCACATGGAATACTGGATGAGTAAAACAATGCAATATACATTTTTACGTAATGATAATAAGAGTAAAATAAAAACCCAAAATAAAAACAAAAACTGACCGTTTGCGAATATTAGTAGTATGCCGCCCTGAAGTGACTGTTATGCTAAGAGGCGCCATGAAAGAAAGGGTTTAGCGCTCTGTCGTAGGATATGCTTGATAAAATTGTAGCACAGTAGAATTTAGTAAACCAAGCCTGTTAAAACGTCAATACGATACGGGGATCTGGCTTGTAATAAATCTGTACATTGGAGACGGTTCCTGTTTCCTTGTACATTTCTCCTTGATTTCAGTATTTTTATGACTTACGTTACCATATGGAGCACTGTCTTTTCATTTTTGAGTATCCATAAAGCTTTCATATTCCTAAAACTCCTTGTTTAGCCGTCCAATATGGTGGCTGCGGACCGTTATCAAAAGAAGATGACGAGCTAGGCACCACTTTGGATAAGGAGCTAGAAGATTTCCTCTCACAAGCAATCGAAGATTTGCCGGGAAAATTGGACTCTGACTTCCAACGAGTAGAAGGGAGCGGTGCATCTGCTTCGTCACAGGCGTCTTCGTCTGCGTCTGAAGAGGAAGGAAAAGAGGAGAGTGTGGTCACACAAATGTTGTCAACCTTGGCGGAGACAGCAAAACTGTCACCGTATCCGGAAGCGACCAATGTTGTAAAGAGATTAATCGAAGAAGCAACTAACGACGAAGTGAAAGACCTTGTTAGATTGGCATCCACACTCTCTGGATCAAGCTCGGAGTCCACAACACATGCAGGCAGCAGCGTAAACGGCAGTAGTACCGAAGTGGGTCCTACCACATCTGCCACTCTTCACACAACCAACAACTTCCTTGAATCAGCTTCGGTGACAACATCACCTTCGAGCACGTCTGAGTCTTTTGCTACTACTACAGAAGGATCCGGCACCACAGACACAACGTCTTTGATATCAATAATTGATGGCAGTTCCGAATCTTCTAAAGACTCTCCACCTCCAATGGAGCCTGAGGCATCAGAAACAGATTCGGTTTCTCTCAAGTACACTACTGTTAGTCCTGAAGCGAAAACTTTCAAGCATAAAGAAACTACGCGATCTGTTCTCGATACTAGTGCCATCGAATGTGTTGAAGAGAAGACATGCTACGGGGATACTGACTGTGGACAGGTAACGTAGAAGGTTTCCTTTTCTTCTTTTTTTTCAATAGCTTTCAAAAACTCCTTTGCTCGCGTAGATAGATTGAGGTTAAGTAACTCTTACTGATACTGGTCTAACTATATTGGCTTCCGTACACATTACGTACCTAACAAAAACTATGATTTGACCCACTCGTATTCTGTAATCTACAGTTTTGGAAGCGCTAATTTGAATAACTGTATGCTTACAATAGTCCGAACTTCATCTGTCACGATAGCTCTTCGATTTCAAAAAGATTTTGGTATAAGGTGAAATTTTCCTCAATTTAGTATGCTACGACTATAAATTTCCATGGAGTTAAACAAACTGCAGGAATAACCGTGCTGTGAACTCAAAATGAACGATTCATGTATTTCGCATGCACCGATTCGAGACTAATGAACACGTATCTACAAAAATCGTTTTGAATGAAATTTTGGCATTCTTTAGAGAACGATTTGCGCGTAATCAATCCCTGCGTAGTACTCCGATGAGCACATAGAGATTCACTTTGACGAAACATTTCGTTATAGGCTATAAAAGGAGATGAACTCAAAACAAATAACATTTTTTATTAGAGCGATTTGCTCTATTTTATGGAAAAGTGGAAAAGATGGCTTGTGTATTAATCTTGACGAAACCGTCGGGAAATCCACAACTTTGTTTAAAATGATTTTTAAGTGATCACATTTTGATATATGGAAAGTAAGTTTTATAAGGATTCGAAAAACCACCGAAAACTCAGCTACTTTAGAAAGGGTTTCCATTAAATTACCACCGATGAACCGTCGTCGCAATTTGATGAAAACCCTTTAAATGAAAGTGAATTCTGCGTGTTTGATGGTTTTGCGGATTGTTATAAAATTTTCTTTACAAATATCAAAATCCGATCCGAGAAAATCATTTTGAACAAGTTGTGGATTTCAAACGGTTTCCTCAAGATTAGTCCGTCGCAGGGCGTCTTTTCTAACCGAATCAGTTGTAATTGATAGAGCAGCTGGAATGCAGGCACATTTTCTATGTGGAGAAAATCGCTAACTATTAGATGCTTGTTGGTTAGTAGTTTTTTATGACCGACTGTAATTCTTATATCTAAGATCTGACAAATACATCGAATAATATTATAATTCATTTTCAAAATCATCCTTTTGAGGGGGGGGGTGGCATATTCACAGGCTTTATGTGTGACTGCTTCATATGTAATTTACAAGGAAAGCGCAAGATTTCATCGCCTGTATTCGAAGAATAGTGGACATTTACTCAGCTATTTGATACGAAAGCGATTTTTTTACTTTTTCAAAAACTACAGCGATTATCAGATCGAAAGCTACTATTCAGGGAGTTTGTCTGGGCGTATTTCTCGAGAAATGCAACTGCCATGCTTGTGTTCCCAACATCGAATGCGAGGATGATTCCGATTGTGGTGGGTTGCGAGGAGCATGTCAAAATGACGTCTGCAGATGCGCCAAGGTACGACTCATTCTTCACTTGAATCTTAAAGCATGTTCAGCCTCCTTGTCCACCCAATCCTGCCTTTCTTTATTTTTTAGGCTCTTGCCACTCATGGGTTCACATACTATATCGATGCTCTGACAAAATTCTGCTCACAACGATCATGTACAGAAACAAGTGATTCGTGCTTCGGGTTGCCATGCGGTCGTGGAATTTGTTCATGTAGAAAGTAAAATCATAAACTTCCTTAATAAATATATCTATAATGTTCTCATTCATCAAAGTTTTGCAGTTTTGCAGTCATAATGCATAAGAGATTGTGGGGAATCACTCAAATTTTTTATTAGCGATTTAATTTCTTCGCAATACTTATTTCCTATCACGTAACCGCTTATGAACTATAGTCCTTGATGATCTGCTGGACAACGTGTACAGCTGCTTCAGGCGTATCGTATGCGACCTAAAACCGAGTAGTTGATTTCATTAAGTGGATGTTAAAATCTAAAAGTTACCATATGTCCTCCTCTGAGAATTAGGTAAAATGATAGGTTATTGTGGCGTTTTTTGAATCCAGCTAGAGGATAGGATTTCGTGCCAAACTTGTTTTTCGCTGCTGTCTTGAACGAAGCCATACCAGACCAGGTCAATCTATTCATCCACATCTCAGTTCCTAAAAGCGAATAAAATTCATACGACTTATGTTCAAGACCGGCCAATGAGTTCATTTCATTCAGGAAAAACTGTATGCAAATGTTGCTAAACAGCATAATTGTCCCCCCCCCCCTCTCTCTCCTAGAAAATATTGGAATGTTAGACAGCAAATGTCGCCCAAAATTTTTTTCACATATTTTCGCCAGTTTACGATCTCATTTGCAACTGTATTGAATTCTGATCGGATGAAATCATTTTTTTATCGTACGGGTGATTTGATGGTCACACATTATTTTCGACATTGATGTCGTATCAAATTCTGACCTTTCGGTGCCACCAAGACACTCGCATACCGGGTTTCATTTGTTGTGGGGATCTGTAATACCGCTTACCGACACTGTCACAGATCAGATCTTGATTTCCATTGTAAACGATAACATTGGTTCCATTCATCAGCAGCGAATCTACAGTATCCCAGTTGGGCTTCATAAAATCCTCAGCTTGCATATTGAACACTGCACCAGATTGTGCTGAAATGCTCTTTCCTTCGAAAGTCTATCCAAACTTTTGTATTCATTTCGGTTGGACCAACCTCCAAACTTTACATTGTCAGGAATAATCCCCAGCTTGTCTCTTACAGTGGTATCCATGTAAGATGACAGTGCATCCTTTTGGTAGAAACCGACATGTCTGTTGAACAGACGATCTTGAATGCAATAGAAATTTCTTCAACAACTAAAATAAAAAATGCAAAAAAACCTACTCAACACCCCAAAAGTTGATCTCTTTCTTCTCTTCTTTGACCAATCATCTTGTCCACCATACTTAAGGATGTTGTACCATGATACTCCTCCGGTTTCCTAGATAAAAGAGTAGGGAGGCTATAGAAGATCTCATCAGTTTAGTTCCTGACCGCTCCAATCAAATCCTCCATATTCCCCCAGCAAGTAGTTGCCTGCTTCCATTGGCCTTGATCGACTTTTTTTTGACAGCTCTTGGCCTCTGCATTGACCCGAGCGAGTTGATTGCTGTCCAAGTATGACTGGAACAACAAAGAACATCGATATTATATTCAAAGCTATTAAAATATTGAAAAAACTAGTTTAATTTCAAGATTGTTTTTCTTTTATTTGATTCAACTTGATACTAGCTTAGTTCATTGTGAGATAGAATCGTTTATTTTGATTTGTACTTTTGATAGTACGAATGGTCAAACATTTCTCACTCCTGAAATTTTAAGGGAAAGTTTTCGAATTTCAATTTCTGAGTAATCCAAAAATTCAAATTTCCCCCTGAAATCTTAAAGAGTTTTCAATGAGACTTACGTTTGCATAGAGAAATTCTCCCCAGCTGTTCACATAATCCATGGCAGAGATCCACGAATCTCCCAGAGCTACTCCGCGGAAGTTCAGCCTCAGATTACCTGCGCTGATCTCCTAAATCAGCGGAATTTTTTTGCTGTCAGGGGGCTGTCATAATCGCTTTTTCCCACCTGAGTGATCACCCTAGCGAATTCGGCGCTCATTTTACCACCGTAGCTCTCACAGAAAATGAAAAATGGCCGGGTTCGATATTCAGAGTGAAGGATCAAGAATTGTCGCAACCAAGCGAGCAAGTCTTGTCCAATTTGCTCAACATTTGTTGTAAAAGCACCATCGTCATCCACATATGAGAATCCAGATCCTACTGGATTGTCTACATAGACCATGTCCGCTACTTGGAGCTTCAAAGATATTTTGAGAATTGGCAAAGTCTGTGGAAGATTAGATACCCATGTGGATTCATTATCCGTGTCGTTCAACCGTTTAGGTCCAGTCTCTTCGAAGTTACCAAAGCCGGTGCTGGATGCTCCAGGACCTCCCTGAAATTCTTGATGAGTACACGATTCAGGATAAATAAAAACCTTTTTATAATACAATAGATGTGAAAAATTGCGCGTCGGAATCTGAGATGTATCGGTTCTCCGTAATTTCATTGAACTAGTTGCAAAAAATCTTCTATCAAGCAACGCATTTCAATGCGATATTAGTTTACATTGTATTAACTCTGGCCATTCTCTGGGAAAATACCGTAATTGCTGGGATAGGGTAGGCATAATATGTGTAGCGTGCATCTAATATTCACTTAACCTCCAGTCTTATGTACATTGTCCCAATAGACTGCGGAAGTGCGACAACCCTGCCTTAGTATGCAATTCCTCACATTCCATAGTCATAGCTTGGGCAGAAATTCTTGAAAAATTGTGTCCAAAGCCAATAGCAACTAGCGAACCTGCAGCCATAAAATCAGCGGTCTATTGTTGGCTGGCTTGACAGCATAGAGCCACCAGAATGTGTGGGCTCCAGGTCGAATGTCCACATAACCCCAATCCTCGTCATACTGAAAAGCAGAACACAAAACTTTTCAGCAATCCGGAAAAATTCAGCGTTAAGTGCGGTGATGTTCATATACTGTCTTAAAAAGGTTATCTACAAAAATGGTAATCGATGTAAAGCTTGCCTGTAGCTGTCCATTCCATGTGTTGACAGTGTTGTGCACAGCTTGCCCAAGGGAAATGCAGACTGTGAAGATTGCCAAAAGACGAAGAAGCATCAGGTTCTGTGGAGCAATTTTTGTGATTTTCTACCTATCAAAAGAGGCGAAAGACAGCGCAGAAAGAACTAGGAAAGCGAGCAGTTCCTAGTCATTCTTCTGATTAACACATCATAATTTATGCACTTTATGGTTATAGTCGGTGGCAAGGGCTAATGTCAGGTGTCAAGTTCAACGTATTGAGGAGTGTTTACTATGTGATCAATTAAAAACCCAATATCTTCCTGGATATGATGGTCATTGAAATTAGGCTACTAAAGTTTTTTCGACTTTCATTCTTAGGTGGAAGGCAAGTATGAACAAATAATTTGAACGCATGAGAGAGTAAGTTTTCGAGATCAAAATGTAGTCCGGCATTCAAAAGCCACCAAATCCTACTTCTTGTCAAGCTACTCTTTAATACAAGTTTCTGCATTAGCAATAGTTAAAGCATCTTATTCACGCACTTTAGCTCAGAGGACTGGAGCGCGGTTCTATGAGGAAGACACATGCCCGTTTTAGCAAATACGAAAAAACTCTTAAAAAGTAAATTTGATCTCAGGGTTATTAGTAGACGGACTATAACATAATTATGACTCAAGATGAGGTCTACGAATTACCCTAAAATCCCATAGATAAGAGCGGTTTGATTTACCGGTGAAAAATGAATTGGAAGAATTGAAATTGAATGCAGTCACCCCTCTAACTTGATAGATGGATAAATAAAAATCAGAGAAGAAGTTTAGAAGAAGCTCCGCCCCTCAACTCTAAACCCCGTCCCTATATAAACAATTCATATAGAAAAATAGCGATTTTAACGGATTTTCGGAATTTCTATATGAATTGTTTATTAAGTGGACGGGGTTTAGAGTTGAGGGGCGGAGCTTCTTCTAAACTTCTTCTCTGATTTTTATTTATCCATCCATCAGGTTAGAGGGGTGACTGCATTCAATTTCAATTTTTCCAATTCATTTTTCACCGGTAAATTAAACCGCTCTTATCTATAGGATTTTGGGGTATACGAGTGTCTTTAATTGATATTCGGAGAAGAGAAGCAAGGCGGACATCTCTCAATAATTTGAATTTTGGATTTTGGAATCCTTAATACTTTGGAGTTGGAAAACTATCGATATTTATTGTTTCTAAAACTGAAGGTCTTATAGATTTTGTAGAGTAATAAAAATGGGTACATGCAGTAGAATTTTCCTAAGTATGAAGTCAGCAGGCATCCTGTGGAAAAAATATGATTTAGTAAGAGTACTCTAAAAAATGGGTGCTCGCCAAATTGTGGCAGAACTTATAAGAGAAGTGTTTGAAGTAGTTAAACGTATAGAATTTGAAAGACTCCAACTGCATTATCATGGGACAATGTTATCACCCGCAAAGGCATTAGCGCTTAATCCCAGAGATGGGTCAAATGATAAGTGAGTTATGCAATCGTGAAACTTGAGCAGGCCGAAAAATTAGCATGTCGGGCTCATTGTATCTAAGTATTTTTTCATCGGCAATGAATGAAAAACAAATTTGAGCCTATGCAATATTTTCTTGAGTCTCCTCTGCCACAAAATTATCCATAAGCTTTGAGGATCTCAAGTGGACTGATATGTTTATGTTTGAATAGTGAGTTGAAGAGTGGACTGAGAACAATTACAACACAATCGTCTGCGAGACTCGGTATGAAATTCGTATTTGAACTTTGGTAATCATTTTTTCCCAACCTTTTTAACGACTACAAAGCGACGTATTTATCAATTTGAGCACCCCTCCATTCTTCGCACTTGTTGGATGCTAGTCTAGGTCTTAGCAAAGAGGATAAGAGTTCCAAAATTATGTTTCAATTATAAGTCCCTTATTTAGATCAGATTTTATGTCCTGACATTATGTGAATCGGAAAAATTTACTTTTGAATAAATTACAAATAATAATCATGATTATCAAATGCGGCTGTAGACAATATTAATATTGGCAAAATCTAGCGAAAATCAATGTTATGTTTTACATGTGTGTTCCATATATGGTACAAGTACGTTTTAGCTCGATAAATCAAGACCAAAGTTTTTTTTCAATAACATTGACTTCTGATAAAGGAGAATCGTTTTGTTCTCCAATCATAGTACGTCGTCACGGTCGGCCACCTAAGATTGGATGACCACGCTATGAACAGAGTAGATTCCGCCTTACTATTTGGCCTGCAGCTCGTAAAGACGAACGAGTGTGGTCTCAAATTGGTAATTGCCGGACTTCATAAATTCAGTGGAATTTAGTGTGAGCTGTGCCTGCTTAAAGCACTGAAAAGTGTTGTAATGGAAGCTATGATAGTTTCACGGCTGCTTCCTTATGGCCCAATAAACATATAGACAAGCCTAACAAGGGAAACTATGTCGACACCAAACTTCCATCGATAGCTTGTGGGATTTGAGATTTTGATATAAAGTAATATCGATGGTGCAAACGATTACCTGAAGAGATGAATAACAAATTCGTAAAAGTGTAACGAATGCTATTGCTCTTTATCAGTTCGCCTTTGTTTACTCATCTAAATTGAACTATGCTCCAGGAACGTTTATAAGCATTCACCATATCAAATTACTGGGGATACTTGATGAAAGAGACACTTGTCTATTTTTACATGCAAGAACTTGACTCAGAGAAATATCTTATATATTGAAGGGATCAGAAACGGCTTAATTATCTAGCTTAAGTAAGCATAGGTGAAAGCGTATTGGTAGCTACTAGAGGATAACGGCACATTCAATTCCACCCTCATAAGCTAGAAACTCCTTTCATTCATATCTTCCATCATATATCTGCGATCATGTGCATGTTTGTACATCTGGGCTATCTTGCGGTGAATGTTTTTTGATTATGATAAAAGGAAGAAATGCTGCGTTTTAATTTATTCTCACGCCATAATAGTAGAAGCAATTTCAGCGCTGAATGTATTTTGCGAGTCAGGCCATTTGGTGATGCATCTGCTCTTGAATTGATTTGATCTATTTGTCTCTCATATTATTACAATATGTGGCACTGATACAAATTAATCCATTCTTCAACGTGAGTGATCTTGCTATTCTTTGCCAATTGCAAGTGCCAGGCTTCTTCTGAAATTCATCTCTCCATCTCATCCTCGGTCGTCCTACTGAACCTTCCAAAATGGTCGCCATTCCGTTAGTTTCTCTTAACCATTTTGTCTCATTTCTGTTGGCGAGTTTCCAATCATAAATCCATTTCCTTTTCTTCGCACAAGTCGCTAATTCTTCCACTTTGGTTACGCCACATAACCATGAATTCGTCTTCTTGTCTTTAGGCGATTGCAACCAATCTCAGTTCTATACGTCTTGCAGCAGCACTAAGTTATTTTTCCAGTTTTTTCATCATTGTGCATATTTCCGCACCGTAAAAAATCGGAGGAAGAATACATGAATCAAACAATCCGCTTCCATTCATTAGCACCGTCTTCGATGTCAAAAAATCCTTATACTAGTCAAAGATTCGTCATCCAGCATGTATACGCCGTAACATGTCTTTGCTATAATCAGGAAAGAGTGAAATAGCTTGTCCAAGTTAAACATAAGATTCCACTTGTTCGATCGTTGTGCCTCCCAAACCGATTGTTACTGCAAGTACTTTGGTTCTCAAAGGATTGGTCTCAAGACCGCTCTTGCGTGAATGAATATTTAATCTCTCGCAACACCTTCACATTTTGCAAAAACGTCATCAGCAAAACGGAGATTCGTGAGCTGAACCATCATAACCTTATAATAACGGGCTAAGGGTTATTTACGCGTGTGTGTGTGTGTGTGTGTGTGTGTGTGTGTGTGTGTGTTGTGTGTGTGTGTGTGTGTGTGTGTGTGTGTGTGTGTGTGTGTGTGTGTGTGTGTGTGTGTGTGTGTGTGTGTGTGTGTGTGTGTGTGTGTGTGTGTGTGTGTGTGTGTGTGTGTCCGATCCCATAATTGGAACTTATAAAATTGTGCGCCAAACGGACCCAAGCGACCTTTTACAGGCTACATTACAGGCTCACCAAAGTGATCCTGTAATTGGACTTTTCCCCAATGTCGTGGATTCGTTTAGCAAATCTCGGACTCCACCTCGAAAAGTGAGCAAGAAGTTTACTTTCACGCAAGATTGGCGGAAAAAGGGAATGATTGCGTAGATGATCGATTTGTCGAGGTTTTACCTGAGAATGTGAGAAAATTTTTGCTCTGAGATATAACTCACCTCTCGGTTGTCGTCATCCTTATGGCGGTTATCAAGCCATTATAACTTCAATAACTAATTCAGAATCGCATTCAATCTTTTGGAGAATATGTTATTTCCCTCAAATTCACTGATCTTACCTGAAAAAGCTTCTGGAATAAGTAGTTGTTTGCATTTCATTCGTGATGATTGGCATCGCATGGTAAGTTTCAAAGCCATCATTTTGCGATTACGCGGAAGGCATTTGGATAGTAGAGCCAGTGCGAGCCTCTGCGAAGCAGAGGTGACGCACTGGCTTGTATAAGGCTTTGGCCATACTTTTTCCGTGTTACCCGTGTTACTGGTGTTACTCGTGTTACTCGTGTTACCAATGTTACCTGTGTTGCTAGAGTTACTGGTGTTACACGTGTTACTCGCGTTACCAGTGTTACCTGTATTGTTCGTGTTACTGGTGTTATCCGTGTTACTTGTGTTACCAGTGTTACTAGTGTTACCGCTTCTGTTGCTGTTGAATAGGGAGATGATACAATAAGTCATTTTAAAACGCATATCACTGACTGGGGAGTAACACGAGTAACACTAGTAACACTAGTAACACCAGTAACATTGGTAACACTGGTAACACGGGTAACACGAGTAACACCAGTAACATGAGTAACAAATAATACCGGCAACACGGGTAACATGGGTAAAGTATGGCCAAAGCCTAATGACCATGGTTATTCCAGCTGATTTTTCGAAAAACGTGTTCAAGGTAGCTGGAAAAGGAAAACTAGGAACTAAGTAGGAAAACTTAAGTGAAAGTGGATTTCCTTGTCTCACTCCTTTTTCA